CTGTCTTTTTTGGGGTTTTTTTTGGCAGGGGACCTGGCTTCTTTCACTCAGCATAATTATTTTGACTCATCCATATTGTGACATATAACAATAGTTCATTCCTTTTGATTGCTGAGTAGTGTTCCATCATATGGAAATACCAGTTTGTCCATTCATCTGTTGATGGAAATTTGGGTTGCTTCCAGTTTTTGATTTTTATTTTTTATAATTAATTAGTGTTTTATGGTGATGTACATAGAGACTGTGTAAATCTCCTATTCCACACTAAACTTTAAAATTATGCATTTATAAATTGATATTAGTATGAGCTCACAGATTCCTAATTCATTCAGTAGATTATTATTTGTTACTCTAATTATATTGATGATCAGATTATCCCAGATTTGGCCAGTGGGAGTTTGTTCAAATTGGCTTCTGTGCTCTTTCCACATATCTTTGAGCACTTTATTTTCTGACATAAGAAGATGTTTTAGCCTCATTTTGTGTTTACTTGCTCCAGCCCTGGAATCAGTAATTACTCCAAGGAGCTCTGGTTCCTTTTAAAGTCTTTCAACAGACATAGCTAGAAAGTATGAATATGTGTATATATAAGTACTTGTGTACGTCTGTGTCTATTTCTGTATGTATTAAAAACCATGGATTTACATCATTTCCAATTCCAGTTCAGTATCACAGGGTTTATTTTAGTCTTCTCTCTTCCAAATTTGTAACTCCCTTCTTTGACAGTGAAAAATCAAGCTCCCCATTAACCTCATTATAAGAACTTGTACAGTCTTCCTGTGTGTAATCAATCTCCCAGCCATGCAGACTGTCTCTTCAACTCTAGCCTCTACCGTGCAGTCTGCTCCCTTGGCCCTGACCTGACAGAGCACAGGACTTCATCATTGACCTGAATCTATTGGTTAAATCCCTGGCCCTGTTGAGCACACCTGTTGAGTCAGACCCCAGCCCCAGCAAACATGCTCTAGTCTCTGACTGATCCCCAGCCTCAGCAAACCCCCTGAGTGAGCCCTGGATCTTGCAAACATGCTGGCTGAGTCTTTGGTCAAGTCACTAGTTCTGGTTTGGGGAAAGCATAACTCATGTCTCCAACTTAGGCGTGCACTCCACTGAGGCCCTTTTGGAGGCTTTGCTCCTGGCAAACATGCTGGTTGAATCCCCATTTAGACCAGGATCCAGCAAACATGCTTGCCAAGTCCCTGACCTTGATCAAGGAGCTCCAATTAAAATTTAACCTTTCAGTGTGTCAGTATCTTTAATTTCATATATATATCTCCTTATTTTCTTAAACTGAAAATCTTATTCCTAACAGTATAAACATAATTACTTACTTGCTTTATTGTGTATATAAAAGTTTCAAAACAATGCCAGCATTCCTACTTATAATAAGACAATTGAATAAAGCTCTGTTCTTTCTTTCCTGCTCTATTTGCCCTTAGAATATATTACATTAAGGATGTGTACTGTGCTCTAAGTCAAAATGTTTTAAAGACACTTGAAATAATTCTTTCCCTTGTCAGTAACTTGTTATATAGTTAGAATTTTATTTTTCCATTAGTTTTCAATTTTTAGGTATTGCTTTTTTCTTCTTGATTTATTTTTGGAATATATAAAGCAATTACATGATTCCAGAGCCAAAACTCTGTAACAAGGGCTGTTCAAGAAGTTTTCCATCCATCTCTGTTTCCCTTTTACTCTCTTCTCTCTCTTTCCCTTTATTCAGCTAATGGTTTTATTAATTCTTGGTTTATTTTTCTAGTGTTTTTGCCTTTTGGTTTTCTCCTTTCCTTTTTTTTTTTAACATTTACAAAATATAATATACACAGAGATATATGCACACACTGACACTTTGCTTTACTTAATATATCCTGAAGATCATTTTGCTTTAACAACTGTCTAGTATTCCAGTATATGAGTGTTTTATAGTTTATTCACCTGGTCTTCTGTTGATAGATGTGAGACCTTTGGACTATTTTCAATCTTCTGCCATATTTTAATCCTAGAAGGTAGGCTTTAAAAATTAGCTGAAGCGAACAGGAGCCCCAGGTTCCCCTAAGCAGCAAAAGCTTATATTCCTTATCTTACTTGCACTCTTATTTCCTCTATCCTTTGCTACCTTCTGGAGGGCTAGTTCTACCCAACCGTTCATGTCAAATTTTGCTGCCAAATGAGGTCAGTTCAGATCTTTTACCCCTAAAAAAAACTGCAAATACACTTTAGGTTTGCAGGGATTTATTTGATCTCAGTGTTGCAGATAAGGGATTTGGGGCCTATAATAAGTGAAGATAAGCAGTATCTTGTAAGTGAGCAACAAGTTAGTCTTGATACACAGCTGACTTTGGAGACTTTGATGCCAGAAGAAAGTGCCTATGTGAACCATTAAAGGCTGTGTGGCATGAGCGAGATGGTCTGAGAATCTGAAGTAAGGTCATTGTGATTGGAGCAGAGAGGACAGTGTGGGAGATGGAGGTCCAGGACTGGGTAGGACATGAGAGGGCGTGCTTAGGAATTTTGTTGTTATCTGAAGAGCCATGGAAATCAGCTAAATGGCTTTAGCTAGGGCATATTTGATCAGTTTTGTTCATGAATATCCTATATATTTAAGAAATTGAGCAATCCTGTACTTCAGATTTTAGGGTCCAGGCCTCATCTTTTGTCTTCAGTGCTCCTTGCAGCCATCAGAATAGGATTTTAAGGTCCCCAAGGGTTTGGTAGGTAGCTTCAGGGCAGAATACGGCAGAATATGTGCTTAATTCCTAAGGTTGTAGTTTTCCTTTAGTTTTTGCTCTTTGAGTATTCCTTATTTTGTTTCCTGCACAATCATTAACCCAAAAATATATTAAAAATTTTAAATCCAACTTCTTAAAAGTGTTGTTGAGAGAGTAATCAGTCATGCTGTTAGAATCTAAAGATTAAACTAATTCTTAAAAAAAAAAATTAGTATCTATCTCCTGACTTTTCTGACAATCTCTGACCTTGAACACATAAGAAATGCAGAAAAAGCACTGAAGTACAAGATCAAAACTAATTATACTAATATGTGTGTGTGTGTATAAGTATATATTCACACACAGATTCACACACACACACGTATACTTACATATATGTGCGGTAGGTAGGTAAGTGGTAGGTAGAAGGGAAGAGAGATACAGACATCTGGCCTTGGGCATTTATGTGACTTACATGTTATCAGAACAGTTTAAATTTGACAGTCTTCTTTAGACCTTTATGAGCAATCACAACATAGCAGATCTCCTTAAATACAGAAATGACCATTTTGTGATATTTGAGAGAGGATGTTAAAAAACCTTGGCCCAGCATCACATCCCTTAATATATGTTTGCATCCAGAACCTTTAGAGAAGATTACTGTCATTGTCACTTGCGAATTGTGCTAAGATCATAGGAGGTTATATTTCTGCAAGTGATGGCTAGATACTCAGGAAAAATGGGCAGACAGAAGAAAAGAAACTCTAAAAAGAAGAAGTGCTCACTGATAGTATTGAGTATCATCAGATCCAGCTTTTCTTGAGTTTGGTTTGCATGGAGGAAATCTGTGGAAGGATTTTCACAGTGAGAAGTTCACATTTGGATGCCCATCTACCTTTTGAAGTAAGATATGTACATATTGATTTAGTCTCTTCATTAAAGCCTGGTAGTATATAGAAAAACGTTCTCTTTCTTTCATTTTAATTTCAGTTCACAGTGAGACAAAGAATGTCTGTTTCGTAGCTATAGGTTTCTCTCAGATTATGAGGTGATAAAGTAGATTAGGTTTTGTAACATCGTCTCAACACCTTTGTCCTTCCTCTGCCAACTCCCTCCTCCCCTTTTCCCAACAAGTTTGAATTCAAATTCTGGCTTTGCCATATAACTAGTCAAACTGAGGTGACTAGTCAATAAGCTGTCCAAGCTCAGTTTTCTAGTGAATTAAATGGGGTTAATATCAGCCCTGTGAGAATTAACACAACATGTAAAACCCCCAGTGCTAAGCAGAGGAGGCGTGCAGTCAATATCACTTCCCTTTCAGCTTAAATGATAGAAAACTGATTCTCAATCTTTGAACAGTGTAAGTGTATCATCCCTTCATTCATTATGCTTTCATTCTTGTGAACTGCTTTAGGAAATACTGACCTTGTCACTGGCATCATTTGTGAGGAATAGTTTGGCAGGGATGTTATGGAGGGATGGATGAAGTGACCTGCTGGATACCTCCTTGGTGAATGCCAAGTAACCCCTTTTGTATATGTAATTAGTATTGACAGTCATCTCATTTCAGTTACCATGTTACTAGGCTGTTACCCTCCCATCTTTTCATCTCAGGTATTTAGAGAAATAAATTAGAATCTGACTGCTAAACCAATACTTACTCATTCTCTATTTGATACTCATACTGTCTTAGATATATATGGATATATATCTGTTTCTTCTTTTAAGGGAGAATTTCGACATTCTTTATGTGGAAAACTGTAAATAGATCTCCTCTCCATTAGATTTTCATATTGTTTAAATCTTTGCGGATTCATTTGGTACATTGTCTTATCACCTTGTGTTACCATATTTTTTTATATCATGATTAAGAGAAGAACTCTAAAATAAGAAACAGCAGGGTCATGAATCATATCTCCTAGGATTGTGTGGAATAAAGGAGATAATGTATGTAATACCCTTAGCTTCAAGCGTGGAACATATAAGTGCTCAGAGAATGCTTGCTGTATACTATTGTTATATGTGTTCCTTATCTTCCAGATTTGAAATTCTGTAAGAGCAGGAACTGTGTAGTATATACACTTCACGTATTATGGACCCAACATTTTACTTATTAATACATTTTTATTCTTTTTTTTTAAACATTTTTTATTGAGTTATAGTCATTTTACAATGTTGTGTCAAATTCCAGTGTAGAGCACAATTTTTCAGTTATACATGAACATACATACATATATATATATACTTATTATTATTATCAGAGATTTTAATGTTTCATCTTTTGTCTTGCAGTGATGAAACTAGAGAATCTGTTTGTAGATGATTCAGGTCGATATTTGGCTATTCAGTTCCATCTGGAATGTGCATATGTATTTTTATATTATTATGAATATAAAAAAGCTAAAGATCAGTTCGATATTGCTAAAGACATCAGCCGATTACAAATTGATTTGGCAGGTAAGATTTTTTTTACCTTTTGTAAATAATTGACTTATTTTTATGGTAAAACTAATATGTATATTGGCAGTTTGGCTGTATTTGATTTTCTATGTTCTCTGCTTTACAAAAATGGATTTGAAATTTTTATTTTTAGAGTTCATAGTTTTAGAACAAAAATGAAATTTTGTATTTTCTTTCTTCCTGAAGATGCCCATTTATTTTCTAATTCCGTAAGACACATGTTAGTAATATATGGCAGTACACAAATGAACTTTGCCCATTTGGTTGTGGATGTGGGCCTCCCAAGGCCCCTCCTGATTCTCAAGTTTAGTCTGGCCTCTCTACATTGCCCTTTCTTGTAAATACCCACTATGGCTTCCATCCTGTCTTTTTTGTATTCCTTAAGAACAGAAATTTTGAACCATTTTGTTTCGATGTTTCTTTATTGTCTTAGAACACTATCTGGCAGACAGTAGGCACTCAATAAATATTTTTTGGAAGAATAAATAAATTACAGAATTTTTCCTAAAATCTGTGTTTCTTCTGAATATCAAATAAGAAGCATTGGTTTTCTTTTAATGTATTGCTCTGTCCCTAGTCTCACAATATAATTGGCATTCAACATTGAAGACGTTAATGAAAGTCAGACATCGTCAACTGGTCACACCACTTGTACCTGTTGAACCTGGGCTCTGTGACTGTTGAAGTGATTGATGCTGTTTGTCACTGACCCTCCGGAGGCTAGGCCTCAGTGATCTCTAAGGCTCGTTCTTAGTCCCCAAACTCTGCTTATTGAGCTAGTCCTGTCAGTAAAGTCCTTCAGCTATATTATGAGATAATTATGCTTTGTGACCTCATCTGGGATCTTGGCCACCTTTTATTACATTATTTGTGTGGGGAAAATTATTAAATATCCAACGTACAACTTTTGGAACAATGGCCATGTGTGAATTGGAGTCTTATATTTGAGCATATAGTGATATGTACTATAAATTGTGAGGTTAGTTTCAGAGATGATGTTTTTAAATGTTTTGGTCTTAAGAGACTTTTTTTTTTTTTGATAAGTTAAAAAACTAATAGCATAGTACCCTGTATAGTCAGCTTTAGCTGTTGGTGTATTTACTAGCTAGTTCTTCCTGTTTTTTGTCCAAGTTAAAAATATAGGTGTGCTCACAAATATAAAATGAAAATCAGATTAGTATTTTTTTCCATTCAGCTGTAGCCTTACTAGAAAAAAGTAAGCTGTGTTAGACCATCTCAATAGCTATTTTTGGTACAGCATGTTTAAAAGGTTGCTGTATTACGTAGAGCCAGACTCACTGCAGGATAAAATCCAGACTCCTTAGACTGGTCTTTGTAATCAAGGGTCTTTGTAATCTCTCACCAGAGAATAGATGTCAGAGCTCTTGCTTCACTTAATGCCGTTCTGCAAGTTCTTTCAGATACAAAATGAAAAAAAATGTTGGTCTTATGTGGAGCCAGATAGTGTAATAGAAAGACTGTGGGATTTAGAACCTAAAGTCCCTGACTGTAAACTCTGGCTCTGACACTGAAAACTTGTGATCTTGAGCAAGTGACTACCCTTCAGAACTTACATTTGTTTGTCTGTTACACGGAGATGATAATATTTCTAGTGGGATCTAGTGGCAGAAGTCCCGGGTTTGAGTGCTGGCCCTATAGTTTACTGGCTCTGTAATTTTATAAAAAGGCACTTTAAAGTCATCACTGGGCTTCATTCTTTTACTTGAAATGGGAAAAACACCTTATAAATTCTAAAGCACTCTGAAAATGCTACTCTTTATGATTGTACAGTAGATCTGATTGACAAGTTAATAGATATAATTTAATATATATGTTTTCAGGTGCTTTGGGAAAAAGGACACGTTTCCAGGAAAATTATGTGGCACAACTTATTCTAGATGTAAGAAGGGAAGGAGATGTCTTTTCAAATTGTGAATTCAGTCCAGCACCCACTCCTCAGGAACATTTAACCAAGGTGAGTAGGATCATAGGTTATTTAAATTAGTATGCAGATCTAACGGTTTCCATGGGTGAGTTTCATAGAAACGTTGGATGGGGTGGGAAGAGGCTTCTTTGGACCCTTCCTGAGCTTTTACAAGGTGGCTGGGGGCAAAGAAAAACCCCCAAACAGAACCCATGTTTAAACTGTTTTTACCCTTAAATAGAAATAAAATGTTGTTTTTCTAGACTTCAGTAAGTATGAATTAATAATGTTGCGTATTATGGCCTTGGAAAAAAATCCAAAAGGCAGACTGAGTAGAGATTAATTTTTCTAGCAGCTACCATTTTTTTTGCCTTCTGTTGATATTTTTGAACATTAAGAGACTTGAAATTTCTTGGGCTTCTTCAAAATATGTAAACAGATGATCAGAATTCCTTTTTTTTTTTTCTTACCAGTTTTCTGGTCTGCCTTTAGTTACTGTCATTACTAGGCTAGTTGCTGCCTTAGTATGTTTTCTTGGCTTGACTAATACATTTTCTTGTAGCTTAAATTTATGGCTCTTGGTCAATTTACCTACCCATAGGCCTTTCCATCCACTTTCATGGAGGCAGTTAGCATTTATAGTTTCTTATCCCAGAGACCCCAAACCAGCATTTTTGCTGGTTCTTTGGTTGAGGTTACTCCCCTTAAAGCCCATGTTTTGCTGTTCTTCATTCCAAAGCCTGCAAACAAATTTATGTGGTGCATAGAACAGCAGCATTCTGTTCTGTACTGAGCATAGCGCCAAGGGCCGGGGCTGGGGAGACGGGGAAAAAGAGCAGCGGCAGTAGGGAATCCGGAGGAGGCCTGTGATGAGGTATTATGTACTTCCTGGGCTCTTTCCAGGTTCTCTGTTGTTTGCTTTTGTGATCACTTCAGGGGGACGGGGAAGGGGGCAGCTATTGATTCTAGGAGAAGGAAGAAGGATGGAAGGAAAGGTGGAGAAACTCAGGGATAAGACTGCTTAAGGCACAGCCTGTACCTCCTGAAGTTGGAGAGCCATAGCTGAACGAGCATTCGTGCTGCCGTGTTGATGCAGGTCAGGGAACTGTTGATACCTGCTTCCCTCCTCCATTTCTTCCTTATAGGCACCAGACCTCCTCCTTCAGCTTTTGATGTAATCCAAGTCCCTCCCTACGTCTTAGATTAACTGTCAGAAGCCTGGTTTTTAGGCCATAGAACAGCATCAATGAAAAGAGATTTATTCCTGGAGTCCAAGCATTTAATTCAGTAATTCATTGTTGTTAATTGTTTTTTTTTCTCCTACTGAAAACTATCTCCTGTGCTCATAAACAGGATACGATGATATTACAGGGACTGTATAAAAATGATGTACAGTTTAATACAGAAATTATGTCATCTCTCATATTTGAAATAAAATACATTCAAATAATCTTATGATCTTCATTAATTCAAGGTGGAAAGTATAAATTGTGTGATGTAAGTATGGGTAGGTACTCAGGGATGGAAGATTGATTTGCTTGGTTAGTTACATACCATATTTCCTTATGTCAAAGATTCTATTAGATTATAAAACACACCATCTGTTTAATAACTACTCTTTAGGAGAAAAGGAACACTATTATACCAATTACAGTGATTATGAAATATATCCTGATTAGAAGTGATACAATGTGGAAATGTATATCTTAGAGTTGAGGAAATACAGTAATTTTATTGCCAGTGAGGAACATGTTTCCCTTTGGGCCTTCCTAGATTTTTAATCTGTTATTAATGAGGAATTACACAGCCTAAGGCTATTAGACTTCAGGATTTAATAAGCCAACAATTATGAGCAACCCCAACGTGCCAAAGGCACAGTCTCTGTTCTTTATTGTTTGATCATGGGGACGTGGTGTGAGGAGGGAGAGTAAATTAAAATTGTATAGTCACAGAAAACACAAACACCTGATCAGCATCACTGATAAGAAACATACATTAAAAGCTGAATGTGGTGTGTCCCA